GCGCCTAGCCTCCCCGTCCCACCACCGCAGCCCCGCCGAGCGCGCATGGCTTGGGAGACCCCTTCCACTGGAAAAAGGAGAACCCACTGCCCCGATAGTGAGGATCTGGGCAGCACTAGACCGCGTGCTGCTTCACCAAACATGCAGTCAAAGGAAGGAGGAAGGAGGAAACCATAAGGATTGTTTCGGTGAGAAGGAACCACCTCGTTTCTCCAGGAACAAATGAATAGAAAAATGAATAAACCTCAAACTTTTTTTTCTCCTTTTTTTTCTTTTTTCTTTTTTTTTCCTTTTTTTCCTTTTTTTTTCCTTTTTCCTTTTTTCTTTTTTCCTTTTTTCCCTTTTTTCCTTTTTTCCCTTTTTTTCCCTTTTTTCTTTTTTCCTTTTTTTTTCTTTTTAGAAAAATGAATAAACCTCAAACTTTTTTTTTTTTTTTTTTTTTTTTTTTCTTTTTTTTTCCTTTTTTTTTTTTTTTTTTTTTTTTTTTTTTCTTTTTTTTTTCCTTTTTTTTTTTTTCTTTTTTTTTTTTAAATATGCCATGATACTAAGCCACCTCTTGCTGGGAAAAAAAAAAGAATCTTCTCAAGAGAGGGCCAGAGCTCTTAACAGAGGGAGGTAAAAATCTTCAAGCGTTAGGTTTCCACTGCAGCAAAATCTTGAGCCAGAGGCCTCTCTGTCTTCTCTAAGGTCAACAAAATACCATGGCTATCTAAGTTTTATCTCAGGTCTTCCAGACTCATTTACAATTTTTCATCATCTTTTAGCTATAGCTGAAAATACAGGAAGGAAAATTAGATAGATAGATCGATCGATAGATAGATCGATAGATAGATCGATCGATCTAAACTTGACAACTAGTTAAAAATTGTAAGGGTGCAGAATGGTAGCATTTTGTGAAACATTCATCAGAAGAGGAAGGTTATGCCAAAACACATCTTCTAATTATTGTTTTCACTCAAAAGATTAGGCAACCAGTAACAAAGTAACTGAAGCTAATAGAAACTAGAGGTCTGTATTTTTTTTCCTCTCCTCAGGCATTAAATTTTACGAGAGCTCACCTAAAAAATGACTATCCTGCAAGGGCCTATTAAAACAGTAAACTATGTTAACAGAATTAAACGATGGCGAGATTTCACTCTACCCCAAATCCAGCCAAGTGCAAGGTGCTGCTGAGAGGGCAATGCTGTACCTGCACCTCCCAACAATCGTTCTGCACCCCCACTGTGCATTGGGGTGGCTGATTTTGCAGACAATGAGCACATCTGTTCAGCTTGCTCATGGAAAACTAACCACTGCATCTTCCACTCCCAAAAGCCCAGTCTACTCTTGATTTTTAAACAGGAAAGTCAAAATAGTCTGCTAGCCTATATGCTATTTACACACACACAACTTACCGGAACAACTAGTAATGTGGAAAAAAAATTACACAGGAATTCCAGGAGGAAGGCATCGGAAGGTCGCATCTTCCCATCTACACTGATCGTTTTTGGCACTTCAGGAACAAGGCTCACTGCAGCTTTGAAAAAAGCATCAGCTACAAAATAAAAATATAGTTGCTGTATTACTACTCCAACTGCGATGGCAGCCATGCCTGTGATTCAATGATTGCTTTGAGTTTGGTTCAGACAGAGTACAGTAAATGAATGTATGCATAACTGCAACGAAACTCGAGACTCAGCAGTCAAAATCTGTGGCAATTCAAGAGATAATGGTGTTTGTGGTTTTTTTTTTTTCCCCAAAAGAAGTTCCCACATCACTCAAGACTTCTGAAATTGTAATTCTTTTCCTTTGCTTAATAAGAGGATACCATTGATACCATTATGTATATACATAATGCATATATAATGAAAAAAAACTAGTGCACAATTCAAAATCGACTTATCTAAAGAAATGCTTATGCCAGGAGAATGGGGAATCCAAGGGGGGCAAAAAAGCCAAATTTGATTATTATATATTATATTACTATATATAATACATATATTATATATTAATATAATATATAATATTATAATATTATATTGTCT